TTTCAATTCCTCCTCGATTTTCAATTTTTAAATTTTTCAATTTTACAGTTTGTGGATTTCCCGATAATCTGATTGTCCAATTTCTTTAATTTTCAATATTTTAAATTCACAATATTTAATTTTTTTCGATTTTCCACTTTATCGGTCTTTCAGTTTGTCAAGTTTTTAACTTTCGATTTTACAATTTTTCGTTGCTTCAATTTTTCAATTTGATTTCCAATAATTGTTAGATTTTTCGAAGTTTTCATTTTATTATAATATGTTACCAACGTTTCCATTTTTTGACTCGAAAAATTGAAAATTCGAAAAACTGAAAAACTAAAAATTGAAAATCGAAAACCTAGAAAATCGAAAAATTGCAAATCGATGAACTGAGGAAACAACAAATTGAAACATCGTAAAACTAAAAATTGAGAAACCTAAAAATCGAAAAAATAATGAATAGAAAAAGTGGAAACAAGAAAAAACGAATCGAATCGAAAAATTGTAAAACCCAAAAAGTGTAAAATCGAAAAATCACAGAATCGCTAAAATTGTAAAATCGAAAACCTGTAACATTGAAAGATTAGAAAACTGAAAAATTAAACATCGGGAAATTGAAAAATTAAAAATAGAAAATTAAACATCAAAAGTTGAAAAATCGAACAAATGAAAAATTTGTTACTCGTCTTTTCTACTTTATTTAGTTCCAAATTCATTGTATTAACATTAACACCCCACAGTTGGGGCTAATAACCTCGATGTTGAAGCCCTGCTAAAATAAGTAATTTAAAAAACTTAAAAAAAAATAAATAAAATCCAATACTTCAAAAATGGACAAATTCTAAAATCGGAAAATTAAAAAAAATATTTTCTTTTTAAATTGTCATTATTACATTTTTAATAGTATATAAACTAGAAAAATTGCAAATCTAAAAATGACAAAATCGTCAAAATGGAAAGTCGAAAAACTGTAACACTGAAAGATCGGAAAATTGAAAAATTATACCTGGGGAAAATGGAAAAGCTTTAAGGTTGCATATTTTAAAAATGGTGTGACGTCCTTCTCACGGCCAGGCTAGCTCCTTCGTCGTTGCGGGGTGATGGGTCGTTCGACTGTCTTGACCTTGGGCGCCAGTGTGTCACAAGAGGGCACACAGAAAAAAAGAAAGATGACAGGAAAGCTGAAGAAGAGAAAGAAAGAGGAGTGGAATAATTAGAATAAAGAGAAGAAAAGGAAGGAAAGGGAAAAAAGGGAGAAGCAACAAATACCCGGTCTAATCACGTATATAATCTGGATTCTATATACAAAAAAATAATATAAATTGGGGGGGGCGGCAGCAGCTCGTTGGTAGGTGGATTGCTGACCCTGGTGAACCGGCGACCCGTGACGATTGGAGGCAAAACAAAAAAACTGGCACAACGCAAACTGGGACGCACCCGGTTTCTCCCGGACGATCGGCGAGCACTTCCCGGCGATCGGCGCGCACTTCCCGGCGACTTACCGTATTGGTACCAATACGCAGAACGCCCGTTCCCGTCTCCGCGGTCCTGTTGAGGTCAGCTTCTCTTCCTGTGCCTCTCCTGGACTCCGTTGGCCTTTGGTGTTCTCGCCTCAGCCCTTTTCTCGTCTCTCCAAACACGGTCTCTCTTCCCAAAGCCTCGACACCGGCCCTCCTCGTCTTCACCCAACGCTCGCCTCTCTCTTCTTCTTTTTTTTTTTTTTTTTCTTTCCTCTCGTCGCTCGTCGCTCCCGCAGAGCTGCGCCGCCGCGTAAATGTCACGTTACACACCCCCGTTAGTTACCCAAAAAAATTAATAATAACTGGAATTAAAATAATTACGGGGAGTATTAATTTTTTTTTCCTAAACCTACTCTACCTACATAATAACTAAATTTATTTAGCGTTTCCCTAAAGGACTTGGACCACTCATCCAACTATTCTCCTTATTGGATGGTCCGACATTTCAGACTAATGTCCAAACTGTACTCCATCACATAGTCAATTTTCATATTTCTAAATTCGGTATAATAGCTACGTCACAACCTGTCAATCTATTATTTCTGTCTACTCTGGGTATAAATGGCTAAATTTTCAAATTCTGCCAATACTACAAATCTGTCAAATCTGCCAACCTCGACACTAGTGCCTAAAAAAGTCAAAATCGAAATCTATTCTCTACACAAACAAACACCCTAACCGTTCACACTCCATTCACGAGATCTATCGTTCTTCTTCATGCACTCCTCACCTTCCTTACAGCGTCTAATCCGAGTTTCTTGTCTGATCAGGTTTCAGATCCTTGGTATGGTATCTCCCAAGATCCACACCATTCTCTGTCGTCAATCGGTACACTAGAGGTGAAAGGACTTCTGCTATCTTGCACTTCACGAATTTCGGTTCCAATTTAGCGGCATATCTTTTAGAAGCATCTGACAAAACGTAATTTTTCTTCCACACCGTATCACCAACGGCATACAAAGGTGCCTCGCGTCTCCTTAGATTATAATAATGACAATTTCTATGATACGCCTTATCAAGTTTCCTCTTTACCTCGTTGTACAATGGCAATAAACGATCCATACTTTCCGCATAAACGTCCCTGAAAGTGGGTTGAAGATCAAACTGATGTAGGTTTTCGTCCTTACCGTACAGTAATCCGTGTACTGGTACAAAACGGCCGAAATTCAAAAAAACGGGAGTGTATCCTGTCGATTCGTGGACGGCTGTTCTCAACGCGTAGCCAATCTCGTGGATGTTAGAATCCCACTTGTCATGTCGCTTATCTTTTATGTATGAGCGTATCGCAGCTCCTACTACTTTGTTTACCCTTTCCACAGGATTCACTTGAGGATGGTACTTACAATTAAACCATAATTGGCTTCCAAACTCCTTGGCCAATCCTCTAAACATGTTGCTCGTCAACTGCTTCCCATTATCGCACACTATTACTTGCGGTGCTCCAAAGATATAAAAGACATTCTCTCGCAGATAGGTGGTAATGCTGCTACTAATCGCCTGTCGCAGCGGCTTCAATAAACAAAACTTCGTGAACCAGTCTGATACCACAAGCAAAAATCTATTACCTTTAGACGATCTTGGAAGTGGTCCTATCAGGTCCAAAGCAATCATCTGCCATGGGTAAGAGACCTTACGGGACTTCCCCATCAATCCTGGTGGCGCCAAATTGAGTGGCTTCTGCGCCTTGCACACTTCACAGCTTCTTACATAATGTTGTACGTCCTTACGCATGCGCGGCCAATAATAAAGCTCCTGCACTCTTTTCAAAGTTTTGAACATGCCTAGGTGCGCAGCAATTGGTTCGTCATGACATGATTTCATGACCTCTGTTCGGTATGTCTCTGCTACATATAATTTCCACTCTGGACTACCATTTTGGCTCTTCAAACGCCTAAACAGGTGGGAGTCATCTTGTATCTTCCACACTGCATTACCATCTGGAAATTTGCTGACTCTTTCAAATCGACGTCTGTATTCCGGATCTTTCATGCTCTCACCCTTGACCATAGTCAATATCGCTACTTCGTGTGGCGCTCTCGACAGTGCGTCTGGGACTACATTCAACGTTCCCTTTCTATGTTCGATCTCACAGTCGTATTGCTGTAGCTTCATGGCCCAACGTGCTAATCTACCTGTTGGATTTTTCAATTGATTGAGCCACAACAAGCTGTAATGGTCAGTTATAATTTTAAACTTTGTACCTTCCACATATGGCCTGAACTTCTCAACACCAAACAATACCCCTAAACATTCTTTCTCAGTAACTGTGTATTTTCTTTCTTGGTCTGTCAGTGTTCGGCTAGCATAAGCTACCGGAGTCTCTTTGCCTTCTTGATTCGCCTGCACAAGCACACACCCTAAACCTCTATCTGATGCGTCGCATTGGATTGAAAATAATTTAGTAAAATCAGGACTGGCAAGCACAGGTGCTGATACTAGCGCCTCCTTGATCTTCACAAAACTTTCCTCAGCTTCGGTCGTCCAAGTAATCGCCTGACCTTTCTTTTGCCCTTTAATGAGCTGAGTTATAGGTGCACTCATCACCGCAAAATTAGGAACAAATCTCCTGTACCAACCCGCAACTCCTAAGAAACGTTTCACTTCTGTTCGCGTGTTGGGCCGTGGATATTCCACCATAGCTCTCACTTTCTCAGGATCCGTTCGCAACCCCTGTCTGTCAATTACGAACCCTAAATAACGAAGACTCGCCCTACAAAATTCACATTTGTTAAAGTTAATTGTAAGATTGGCGTCATGCAGTTTTCCATATACCTGTTGTAACACTTCTACGTGCTTCTCAAAAGTGGGTGTCGCTATCAGTAAGTCATCTAGATACACAAAGACAAATGGTTCTAAAGAGGGTCCAAAAATCGTATCCATAAGACGTTGTTGAGTTTGCGCTGCATTATTCAACCCAAACGGCAGTACATTAAATTCATATAGACCTCTTGATGGTATCACAAAAGCAGTCTTTTCTTTAGAGTTGGCATCTAAGGGAATCTGCCAGAACGCAGCTTTCAGATCTATGCTACTCAGAAACTGAGCTCCCGTTAATTTGCTCAAAATACAGTCAATGTGCGGCAACGGATAAGCGTCGCGCTTCGTGACTGAGTTAAGCTTACGTCCGTCAAAGCAAAATCTGTACTCACCTGAGGATTTCTTTATCAACACTACTGGTGATGCCCACGGGGATGAGGATGGCTGTACTACCCCTAATTCTAACATTTTGTCTAACTCGCCGTTCAAATGTTGCAACATATATGGAGACATGTTGTTATATCTCTGCTTAACTGGTTCTGCTTCACCGGTGTCAATCTTGTGAATTATTTTGTTGGTTCTACCCAACTTGGTTCCTGCTTCCCACGAAAGAGACTTAAATTTGCCAATAACCTCTCTCAAGTTTTGTTCTTGGTCGCTATTCAACTCTCCCCTACAAATAATTTTGTTGACAGTCATCACTGCCTCGTTGGTTGTTTCACCTACCTCGCATCCCTCATGTTTATCATTCACAACAATCGTTTTCTGATTCCAATCTATTACCGTTCCAAATTTCTCACAAAAATCGTTACCCAAGATTACAAAATGGCGGATGGTCGGTACCACCCAAAACTTCATGACCTTGCACGTTCCATCTACCGATATAGGTAACTGAACGTACCCCGTAATTTTCTGCATACGTCCTTCTGCAGTATTCACACCTTCTGTTCCTGATTCGTACACATGTAGATTAAAAAATTCTATCAGATATAGACCGTTTTCCCCTATTACCGAAATTGACGCTCCGCTATCTACTAATGCAACCAATGAATGTCCATACGCTTCAATTTTCAAATGGGGCCGACTATCACATTTTTTGTCTACCTCAAACATAGCATCTAACGGATTTGTTACTATTCCAGAGCATTCGGAGTTACTAACCTGCTTAAACGATGCCTTTTTTATACACCTTTTTGACATCTTGCTAAAGAACCGCAAAAACTCTTCACCTTCGCCAACCACTCTCTCCACTCGTGTGGTGAGATGCCACATTTTTTCTGAGCCTTTGGATATACACCAGACAACTCGCGTGGGCTCTTGGATGCGTGTTGCCTGTTTGCTAGTTTTTTGAACACTTTGGGCAGTTAGGTCGGATAACGCCTCGTCGTCCACATCCAAAGCACACTGGTTCCTTCTTGGCTTCACGACAATCTCGCTTCAAATGACCAGCACGATTGCAATTATAACATCGCAGTTCACTAACTTCAGGTCGGGCACAATGTGACCGTGACTGCCTCGATTTAGACGAATGCGCCTCTGTCTCTACTAACGTCTCAGAGTAGGCCAAATCTGGTTCTAGCAACGCTACACTTCTCCTTGGTGGGGGTTGGAACCGTTGTTGTGTCGTAAAGGCGGCTTCCAACGTCCTGCAAACATCGGCTAACTGTTCAATGGATCTTATCTCTTGCAAAGCTATTCTAGTCTGGAACTTGGGCAGTAAGTTTTTCTTTATGGTGCTTAATCTAATTTCTTCTGACGGCGGTTGTGAGAGACGACTAAATAAATTCGCCATTGCAGCTATGTAAATAGTAACACGTTCGCTGTAACCTTGTGTCCTGCTACGAATCTCTCTCCACAATTCTTTGTCGTAATCGGGTGGTAAAAAATCTCGCTTCAAAGCCTGTACTAACGAATCCCAACTGTGCACTGAATCTCTGATTGAACGGTACCATATTAGCGCTTGACCTTGGAATAAATCTACGGCAGATCGGAACAATTCTTCTTTCGACGTACTTCTCGCCCTTCTAAGTTCATCAATTCGCTGCAGAAAGGAACTCACTGATTTACCATCGAACGTAATTCCCCATTTGTACACTGGTGCTATTTTGTGCATAGCTCCTTGTACATCTGCGCTACCTGAACCTCCCGGTAAGTTGCTTGGTCCAATATCTCTAAACGTGTTTCATCGAATGCTACAATGATCAACGTATTGTCCAATTTATACGCTGCGGATTCTTCACCTTCAACGCTGGCGGGGTCTGCACAAAACCTACTGACTCTTCCCAACACGTGGTTGATCCTGGTCTGTAACCTCCTGTTTGCTTCTACCCGAGATCCGTCAAATTGCCTCAACAACTCTCGTATCTCCGCTATCGTGGCGTCAACTTCCTTCTTTTCGTCTTGAAACACAAACTGTGACGTAGTGTAAACAATATTGGGCCGTGCCTGATCTTCCCGTAGCCTTCTCCTCAAATTCTTCCTTTTTGTGTCAACGTCGACACGGTCTGTGCGAGCTACTCCTCGTATCCTCAACTCGTAGTCGATTTCGTTGACCTTGAGAAAGTTCGGTTCCATGTCATAAATGGAGCTTGCACTGGCCATTATGTAACCCTACGATACAAGACCTCTTAAAAATGCGCACTATCTAGATCTAATAAGATACTAATTATTATTGTTGCTTCTCGGACAGAATAGAGCGTAGAAAAAGAAGTAGAAAGAAAAGAAAAAAGAAAAGAACCCGACAACTCAACAAAATCCACCACTCGCATCAAAGTTTGACACCCTAAAGCTTCGAATCAAAGCCCCACGTTGGTGAGCGCCACCTTCTTGTGTGACGTCCTTCTCACGGCCAGGCTAGCTCCTTCGTCGTTGCGGGGTGATGGGTCGTTCGACTGTCTTGACCTTGGGCGCCAGTGTGTCACAAGAGGGCACACAGAAAAAAAGAAAGATGACAGGAAAGCCGAAGAAGAGAAAGAAAGAGGAGTGGAATAATTAGAATAAAGAGAAGAAAAGGAAGGAAAGGGAAAAAAGGGAGAAGCAACAAATACCCGGTCTAATCACGTGTATAATCTGGATTCTATATACAAAAAAATAATATAAATTGGGGGGGGCGGCAGCAGCTCGTTGGTAGGTGGATTGATGACCCTGGTGAACCGGCGACCCGTGACGATTGGAGGCAAAACAAAAAAAACTGGCACAACGCAAACTGGGACGCACCCGGTTTCTCCCGGACGATCGGCGAGCACTTCCCGGCGATCGGCGCGCACTTCCCGGCGACTTACCGTATTGGTACCAATACGCAGAACGCCCGTTCCCGTCTCCGCGGTCCTGTTGAGGTCAGCTTCTCTTCCTGTGCCTCTCCTGGACTCCGTTGGCCTTTGGTGTTCTCGCCTCAGCCCTTTTCTCGTCTCTCCAAACACGGTCTCTCTTCCCAAAGCCTCGACACCGGCCCTCCTCGTCTTCACCCAACGCTCGCCTCTCTCTTCTTCTTTTTTTTTTTTTTTCTTTCCTCTCGTCGCTCGTCGCTCCCGCAGAGCTGCGCCGCCGCGTAAATGTCACGTTACAATGGAAAAATTCGGAAACTATAAAATTTAAAAAGTGAAACGTTTTTCAAATTATCATTATATTTTTAAAATGAAAAATACAAAAATTGCCAATCAAAAAATAAAGAAACGGAAGATTTTCATTTTATTATAATATGTTACCAATCAATGTTTCCATTTTTTTGACTCAAAAAATTGAAGAATCGAAAAACTGAAAAAACTAAAAATTGGAAATCGAAAACCTGGAAAATCGATAAAATTGTAAAAATTCAAATTAAAAAAACGAAAAATTAAAAAGCAAAGTTTAAACATTCAAAAAATTCAAAACCGGAAAATTGCAAAATCGAAACATTGTAAACCAAAAACCTGATGAAACGAAAAATTGAAACATTGTAAAACCAAAAATTGAGGAAACCCAAAGATCGAAAAAAATTAATGAATCGAAAAGTCAAATGAAGAAAAAACGAATCGAATCGAAAAATTGAAACAATTGTAAAATCGAAAAATTATAGAATTGTCGGTGTTTTAAAGTCCAAAAACTGCAACATTGAAAAATCGTAAAATTGAAAAATTAAACATAGAGAAATTGAAAAATTAAAAATCGAAAATTAAAAAAAAATAAAAAATCGAACAGATGAAAAAGTTTGAAAATCCAGTATTTGAAAAATAGAAAAATTCTAAAATCGTAAAATTTAAGAGGCGAAAAATTAAAAATTATCATTATTACATTTTTAAAATGAAAACTAGAACAATTGTAAGTCAAAAAATGAAGAAGGGAAAAATGAAAACATCGACAAACTGAAAAATGTAAAATGGAAAAAACCAAAAGTTAAAAAATCTAAAAGCTGAAAAATCGAAAAATTCAAAACCGAAAAATTGCAAAAACGAAAAATTAGAAAATCGAAAAATTGAAATTCAAAGAACCGAAAAAACGAAAAATTGAAACACTAACTAAAAATCAAGAAACTCAAAAATCTTTTAAGAAAAAACGAATCAAATGGAAAAATTGGAAAATCCAAAAATTGGAAAATCGAAAATTATAGTAGCGTCAAAGTTGTAAAATCGAAAAAACTGTAACATTGAAAATTGAAAAATCCACGAAATGAAAAACTTTTAAAATCCAGTATTTGAAAAAGTTAAAATTCTGAAATCGTAAAATTTAAAGAGTTAAAAATGTTAAAGATTATTATCATTATTACATTTTAAAATAAAAACTGTAAAAATTGCAAATCAAAAAATGAAGAAACGAAAAATGGAAAATTCTAAACTGAAAATTGAAAGATTCAAAAATTGAAAAATTACACACTGAAAAAGGGAAAAATGTAAATAACAAAGAAAATAGAAAACCGTAACGAAAAATTTACAAACTCAAACCGAAAAGTTGCAAAATCTAAAAATTGAGTAGTTCAAAAGTTGTAAAATATGATTTTTCAAAGAAGCGAGATTTGTTGGGCTGTACTCCAGGGGCGAGGGAAGTTCAGTCGAAATTGAATTGAACATCCAAAAGTTGGAAAGTCTAAAAACTGAAAAATTGAAAAATGAAACTCGATGAGTTTCGTAAAATTGAAGAAACAAAAAAAAGTGAAAAATTGGAAAATTGCAAATCGAAAAAGTGAAGAAACGAAAAATTGAAAAATTGAAATTAAAAAAACAAAAAAGTATAAAATGGGAATATTGACACACCGAAAAGTTGTAAAATGAAAAATTAAAAGCTCGAAAAATTTTTAATCTAAAAATTACAAAACGCAAAAACCGAAATAACAAAAAAAAAAATAAAAATTGAATGGTGAATCGAAAGATTGAAAAAACGTAAAATTGGAAAGGTTAAATATGAAAAAACAAAAAATTATAAAATTGAGACATTGAAAAATCGAATAATTTAAAAAAAATAGAAATAAAAAACCGAAACGAAAAGTTGCAAATCGTAAAACTGAGAAATTAAAAATTGAAAAGTTCAAAAGTTGTCAAATCGAAAAATTGAAAAATTTTAACTTGGGATCTCAAAAAAGTGCAAAAAAATATAATTTTTCAAAGAATCGAGAATTGCTAGCTTGTACTTCAGGGGCGAGGGACGTTCTGTCAAAATTACTTTCGACCAATTTTTTTTGTAATTTTCTCGATGAACGTAAATACGTATCAACAACAGATAGCAAATCTAAATGTCGAATGCTTTTCTTGCCAATTAATCCAACCTATTTATAAAAATTACGCAGTAAAAAAATATTTGTGTTTTAATAAGTGGTAATTCTGGTTGCCCCTAAGGTTTAGTAGGTACCTACGTTTAATTGTTAATGAGAAATTTCCTTACACACATTTGAGTAAGCTGTTATGTAGAAAACGTGTCCGTAATCTTGCCTCTGTATACACTCTTCTGTTTAGAAAATCTTAAAAGAGTAAACAGCAAGAGTATTATGCAAAATTGTCGGCCATAACAAGAACGACATCATTCAGGAAAATAGTCGGTTTCATTGTTGTTGTACAATGGTTCTTGAGTTTGCCGACATCAGATAAGGATATTTTAGTAAAAGTCTTATTGTGTCCTGGATCATAACTATAATCGAATATTTTTATTATAAAAAGCCACCGTCCCCGCTCAAGGAAATGAAGATCTTAGGATAACGGGGCACTTTATAAATATGTACGACACCCCCGAG